TGGGCTTTCTACATCCAAATTCGAAAAGTTGCCAATTGCATTTTCTTCTGTTGTTATGTTATAGTCTATGGCCAGGAAATCATCTACTTTCTGGGGATCTGCTACTCCTAAATGTTTGGCATGTCGCAGTAACTGAGCAAGTGTCGCTAAGGGCAGATCGTCTTCAGCATCGCAATAATTTTGCTCAGCAAATTCTGAGCTACATTCACTTTTTCTGAATCCAGCTTTGCCAAAACAGTTTTTAATTGTAGAGGAATTTACTTTATTCCATGCTGTTTTTATAAAATACAAAGCTTCTAACACATTGATAGACTTTGTAAGCTCAGATAAGCTTTGACCATCGTCAATTTTTGTTAAAATATGTTTTAAAATCAAGTGCCGATAATAAAATTTAAAGTTCTGTATGACACCTTGATCCATGGGCTGACAAACAGAAGTTGTGTTTGGCGGTAAAAATATAATTTTCACATTTTTCATTTTCATATCACGAGGATGAGAGCATGCATTGTCTAAAAATAAAAGAACTTGCCTTTTTTGGATTCTCATTTTCCGGTCGAATTCGACTAACCACTCAGACATGATTTCTCGGGTCATCCATGCCTTTTTGTTGGATTTCCAAGTCGCTGGTAGATCCTTAATAGCAACGTTTTTTAAAGCACGGGGACGAGCCGCTTTCCCGATCACAATCAAATCGCATTTTTCACCGCCCATATTTGCACAGAATAAAATGGTTAGTCTATCTTTAGACAACTTTCCACCCACACATGTTTCTCCTTTAAAGGACAGAGTTTTGTCGGGCAATGCGCGAAAAAAAAGTCCACTCTCATCTGCGTTGTACACATCTTCTGGTTTGTAGCCAAGCAACATGGACGGAAGTTTCTCCAAAAATTGTGACACATCAACTTGATCTACTGCAGCAGCTTCGCCAGATATGCATTTGAAACTCACACTATGTCTCTTGCGCCACTTTTGCAGCCACCCGTCGGACGCACTGAAATTATTATAGCCCAAAGTAGTGGCGATTTCTTTAGCTTTCATTTTCACTAACGGCCCTGAGATTGGAATGTTCTGACTTCTAGCTTTCACAAACCACTCAAAACATGTTTTGTCTATAGCAAAACCTTCCTTTTTTAAAAAATCCTTCTTTTGATTTATATTAGTTCCTGATTGCCATTTACTCCTGATATCTTCCTTATTTTTGGCAATTTCAGCTGCTTGCGTTTTCCCAATATTAAACCTCTTTGCCAAATGACGAACTGAAACACTTTCTCTGTCTAATACGTTAACAACTTCCATCTTTTCCTTTAACGAGAGCATCCTTTTTTTTGGTGCCATTTTACAGTTACAATAATAAAATACGTAACTCAATCAACTACGAATTTGCCTGAACTGAAGACAAGCCACAAGATTACATACAGGCTACCCAACGAAATGCGTAAATGGGGAATCACCTAACATAAATCGGGGAATTACCGAATTTTATGTATGTAGATATGTGCATTGCAATAAGCGGAACTAAAAAATCGTCCGGGTATTAGAGTTTCGCGTCCGCTTATGGGAGATTTTTTGATCACATACAGGAAAGTCCAGTGTCCGCGTCCGTTTATAAGAGCGTCCGTTTATCGGAATGCATTTAACATTGAAAATTGATGGCTGAAATTCGGTTCCAGGAACTTTGTCCGGTTAAAAGAGATGTCCGCTTATAGGAGCTGTCCGCAAGGAGAGCTTTCACTGTATTATGAACAGTTCACTACTCTCTCTTCAAAAAGTAGTATAGAATTTGATCAAACTCTATTAATCCATAAAAAAAAATATATTAAACTGAGCTTAAACTCAAGATACATTTAGCAAAGGCCGTAACATCACTACAAAGAGGGCGATTATAAAACTTAGCAAACATTTCTGATTTTTGCGTCCAACCAGCCCTCTCTCTTATCATTTCAATAGAGACTCCAGCTCTATAGCTGATGTAGCTGCATGCCTAGTGCTATAACTAGAAAATATCGAGGTATCAATACCGCCTGCTTGAAGGGTCAGTTTGATCCATTTACTCAATCTCTGTGTAGAGACTGGGCGCATAGGTCTCTTAACTGTTAAAATAAGAAAATCAGTGGGCGTATGCCTCTGGTTTTTATTTCATAGAAATCGATAGTTGAGGCTAAACAAAGGCTTGGGTTTTCCCGAAAATATGGGATCACTAAAAGGGGTTGAAGACCCTTGGAAGATGAAGTTTTGATTCAATCCGTAATGTTAATTTCTATTCTATCAGTATGGCGAACTATATTTTGTAATCGTATATAAGTGAACGTTTGTAATCGATGGCCAGTAATTAAAGCTAACAAAGTAACTAACTTCATAGTCAATTGCATAACAGATATTTCTGTTAAGGGGTACAAGGTAGATAAGTACTCTAAAACTGGTTGAGGATCCCAAGTTGATTGGTACTTGGGTCTTGACGGTCTCTGATTGAAAATTCCTTTCAGAAACCGTTTTAGAATAGTTTTATCTGAGCTATTTATCTCAAAAATAAAAGCTAATGCCGCATACTGTGAGTTAAGTGTTGAGTAGGAACAAGTGTTTTGAAATTGATCACTCAAAAAATTAATGACTGCGTCTAATGAATACAAAAAGGAATATAGCCTTTGCTTATGCAAAATTGCCACCACTTTTTTAATTTCGATGAATACTGTCTCAAGGTAGATGGACTAAGCGATGCCTTGATTGCTTGGAGCCCGTTTGCTGGCACTCCTCGTTTGAGAAAAGCTTCCCCGATAAACTCCCAGCCTCCAGGGTAAGTGTTCTCCACAGTGGATGGCATCCTCTAGAAGGGGAAGGGAGAAGGGCTTTATTAGGCAAAAAGATTATAGATCTTCCTGTCAATAATTTATGGAAAACGGAATACCACGGTTGAGTTGTCCAATTAGGAACCTCAAGAATTCCACAAGCTTGTTCAGCAATAATTTTTTGTAGGCATTTTGATATGAGTGAGAAAGGAGGAAACGCATAAAAAAACTCTTTTCTCCAAGACACTGTAAATGCATCAACTGTAAAGGAACTAGAATCTGGTTTCCAAGAAATATACCTAGGAACTTTGGCATTTAACTGTGTCGCAAATAAATCCACAGTCGGTTTCCCGAAACTAGAACAAATTTCTCGAAAAGCCAAACTCGATAACTCATATTCTAGGTTGATAGATTTCGAGCGAGATAATCTATCTGCATATAAATTATCTGATGTATTTATATATGAAGTTACTATGAAAATTTGTCTATTCTCACACCATTCCCAAATCTGGCGTATGATGTTATTAAGGTGCTTATATCTTACACTACCCATATGATTTATGCAAGCTATAGCCGTTACATTATCGATTCTAAGAAGAATTGAACAAGAAGATATATTGGAGGCAAAGGATTTAAGTGCATTAAATGCGGCTAGTAACTCCAAATAGTAATGTGTCTGTTAGCATCGTCCCCATTACAAAAACCGTTAGTACCTCTATTCTGACAAAAGGTACCCCAACCAGTTAATGAAGCATCTGAGAAAATCTCAAGTATGAATTTCCTATCTGTAACAATAGCTACACCTTCATTATTTATAAGAGTGTGATGCCACCAACATATTTCTGATCGCATTATTTTTGAAATTATTACTGAGGTATTGAAATTTTGCTCTTGTCTTTTTAATGTTACATATTTAACTCGTTCTAAAATCTTAAGGTGCATCCAACCATATTGTACAGTCGGGCAAACGGAAACTAGTTTTCCTATTAACTGAGCTAAAACTAAAACAGAACACCGATTGCGGCGAAGAAAAGTCTCTACTAGTTCCATCATGCTTTTCACTTTTTCTGTTGGTAAGGACACCCTTAAATTTGTGGAATCAAAAACAAAACCTAAAAAGGTACATTGTTTGGCTGGGATCATAGAGCTTTTAATTTACTAAGAATCCTAAATATTCTAAAATATCCTTAGCAATTTGACAGTCTTGCTCAGCTGTTTGTATTGACTTACTGATAATTAATAAGTCATCTAAATACAGTACACAAATTATACCTCTAGTCCTTAAATATTTAAGGATTGGTTTCATAATTTTTGTAAAGACCCATGGAGCTGTACAAAGACCAAAAGGTAAACAATTAAAATGGTAATATACACCTTGAAATTTAAAAGTGAGGTATTTTCTGAATGTCTGATGCACCGGTATCATAAAATAGGCATCTTTTAAATCTATTTTAGTGAAGAAACAGTCATTATAAACTAATTTGAAGACAGTCCTGAAATCTTCCAATTTAAAGTGGGGTGGTTCTAAAAATTCGTTTAATTCCTTTAAATTTAGAATAAACCTGAATGCCCCACAAGGTTTCGGTATTAAAGAAAAATGAGGACAAAAACTGGCCAGGTTTTGAGGTAGTTTTGGATACTGCTCCTATGTTTATCAAAAGTCTTATGCTATCCTTTCATTTATCCGATTCCTGCAGCGTAAAAGCAGGTCTAGGTAAACGCCTTTGCTTAGGTTTCTTAACAAAAGGCATTTTATATCCAGATAACCACGAAATAATAGTAGAATCTTGTGTAATGTTTACCCACTTATTTACATATGCAGATAAGCGACCCGCATACATATCGCAAAGAGTATGTACCTTGTCTACTGCTTCCGGTATGGCCTTGCTGAACGAAACCTCTCCTCCTCCTTTTTCATGCGAGATTTGTGTTGCTGGCGCCGGGAGTTTGAAGACGACGGGACCCTCGACGGACCTGGCTTGGGCTCCAATTTCTTATAGACGACTGGTTTGGAAGATGCTGATCCTAGGGCTTTTTCATTCTTCTTGATTGAAAAGTCTAATCGTTGAGCTTCACCTGCGGATTTCCTTGGTCCGGGAATGTTTTTCCAAATAAAAATTCATCAATTGGGCAAGTATCAGAAAATTTGCGAACGTTGCCATCCAAAAATGGTAGAATGGAATAACGACGATGAAGAGAAATCGCGTGAAAAACATCTGCGATTTCGTTATTTCATATTGCTTATCGAAGCCGACGGCCAGTGCACTTATCCCAGATGCTAACTGTAATTGAAGTTTACTGAGGAATGTATCCTCTTTCGACGAGACGCCTGACTCGCCTAAAAAACATTTTCACATGTTTATAAACACTATCCGGCAGCTTTGTTTTGAAAGAGTTACATACTATGTATTCCATACCAATATGCCAATAACATTGCCAACAGTAATTCATGTGAATACTGTAAGTCAGTCAAGAAGTCGCCATTCGGTGCATAGCACATGTGTACATACGCATACCCGAGATGTATTTTGAAAACAATCAACTATTCATGCCAGTAATTCATGTGAATACTGTATATCAAGAAGTGTTTAATCGGTACATAGTACATGTGTACATGTATATCCGAGGGGCACATTGAAATTAATCAACCATTTTAATCAATACTAGTAATTCATGTGAATACTGAATATCAATAATAAACAGGAACCTGATAGGCACATAGCACATGTGTACTTATGTTTTCATTGAATGAATTGGGGCTAAAACAGAAGGGAACAATTAATTACAATATACTTACTTGAACTATCTAAAAGTTGCAGCAATTTGTGTAATTTTTTTCTGTGTCTACGCGTCACTTTCTTTGTTAGGCCTCTTGTTCACGGCACGTTTTTCGCCGTAAAAATCTACGGTTAATTCGCCGTAGGTAGGCACGGTTATCAGTGTTGTATGGATCACAGTGGGAGCTTGTAGACATACACGGCAACGCTACGTTACGGCAAAGCTGCCGTGCTCGCCGTGAAAGCCCCTCGGCGCGCCGCGTCTGGCGACGGCGTGATTTTCATCAGTGTTGTATCGCAGTGCATGAGAGCTTGTCGATGGTGCCGGACGTTTTCACGTTTTGGGAAAGATATTACACAGGCTGATGAAATAAGCGATAAAATGGACATCAATCAAGAAGTTCTTATAACATTAGTTCAAGAAAGGCCGGTGATCTGGGATAAGACGATAGAAGGTTATAAAAATAAACGCCTGAAGTTTGATTGCTGGAAAGAAATATTCGTACAATTGAATCCCGCATTTGAAGATTTAAGTGGTGAAGAAAAGAACACTTTTGGTTAGTAACTGATATATTTCTCACTTACAGTAATCCACTTAAGCATAGTTATTTTGATAAGAGAGGCTACCTTCGTTAGACATAAAATATTGTGCAAATTTGTTGCGAACATCGTTAGCTAACAAATTTCCGCGAACTGCATTCGTCATAGGTAACTGTGTTAGTTCCGATTCTGATTCAAAGGCTGATTCTCTTTCACTCGTATTATCAAACTGAAACTTTTCCTCTTTATGTACAAAATTTTGTAAAATGCAACAAGCTTTCACAATATCCACAGCCAAATCGATGGAAACATTCAGTGGCCGGTGGAGAATACGCCATTTATTGGCTAAAATGCCAAAACCACATTCAACAAATCTTCGTGCTCTTGTGAGTCGATAATTGAACGTTCGTTTTAATTGGTCAAGTTGATGGCCTCCGAATGGACGAAGTAAGTGATAGTGCAGAGCAAAGGCTTCGTCTCCAACAAACACAAACGGTAATTTGTAGTCTGTTCCAGGCAAGCGGATTTCGTCGGGTAGGTTCAGTGTATTGTTTGTTAAGTTTTTCCAAAATGCAGTTTCTTTGAAAACACTGGAATCACATTCCTTTCCGTAGGCACCAATATCAACAAATATAAAATTGTAATCGCTATCTACTACCGCCATTAAAACTATAGCAAAATAATGTTTGTAATTCAAAAACATCGAACCACTATCCACTGGCTTAATCACTCTGATGTGTTTACCATCGACTGCACCTAAGCATAGCGGGAAATCAGAAGATTCTTGAAACTTGTTAGCTATTTGTAGCCAGTCTTCCTTAGAAGGCATTTTCATATACTCTTTGCACAGTTCTGACCAAATACACTGGCAAACTTCACGTACGATGCAACTTATGGTTTTTACTCCAGTTCTGTAGGTGTAGTGTAGGTCTGTAAACGTAGCTCCTGTTGCTAGGTATCTGAAATACAATGATAAAAATTAATTTTATTTACAGGGCAACATGTGTTGAAAAAATGGACCAATATGAAAGATAATTGGATGAAATGTCATAAAAAAATGGGTGAATATAAATCTGGCGCTGGAGCACACAAAATAAGAAAATACAATTTTTATGATCAAATGCTATTCTTAAGCAAAATTGTAGAACATCGGAAGACTGATTCCAGTATGGATGAGCATGTTAATAGTTCAGGCATCAATAATGAAAATGCAGAACCGAATCCATCAAGATCACAGAACGGTAAAGCGAGTGAGGCTCCAAAGGCTAAGCAGAAGAAAAAAAATAATCAACTTAGTGAGGTTGACATTAAGTTTATGAAGTTTATGGATGTAACGGCACAGGAGGAGAAAAGCCGCAGTATGAACTTTTTTAGAGGAATTTCTGATTCAGTTGACAAGTTTACTGATGAAAACATGATAGACTTCCAGTTTCAAGTCATTTCAATAATTAAAAGCATACAAGAAAGAGAAAATAACCGATATATAGCAGCACCTAGAAACCAATGGGATCATGGCCAGCAAGGATATCAAAGCGGCACAACACCTGCGAATTCACAGTTTTCAGTGTATGGGCATTCCACAGCTGCTCGATCAGGCTTTGGAATCAATGGCCAGGAATACGATTTTGGACATAGCTCTGGTTTAGAGCCCATCCCCAACCGACCAGAATCGCAAGCATCTGCTCAAAGTGTGAATACAGAAAGTACCTCTGCAAATTCTCAAGCCAGTACTGAAGAATTCGATTTTAGCTCTGCATTTCGGGAGCATCTTTAGCTTCAACTTAGTTTTTTTACGTAACTTATAATCATTCATAGTACAAGTTCGTTTGAGATACAAGGCTTTGTATTAATACATAAATTTAAGTAAAAGTATTTAGTTTGATTTTTTACTTACCTCAACGTTACAGCCAATCTTTCTGCGGGAGGTATGCTTTGTCGCATATTGGTATCTTGGTGCTTTAATTTCTGTGATAATTTTTGCAGCAGTTTATCGAAAGTTGTTTTCTGCATTCTGAAATAATTGTAAAACTTGGCTTCATCCTCCCTCAATTGATTCTTGACAAGCGTATGAAATGCGCCTAATTCTCCCCGTTTTTTCAAGATCGGGTGTATCCAAAACCTTCTTTTTCTTCTCTCTTGTTTTTTCAGTCTTCTATACACATAGTACGCAAGCACAATCTTTTTCTTAGGATTCATGGCGAGGACTTCTATAGTTTGCCGCAGAAAAGTCTCAACTGAGCTCACTTGGATTCATTCGACGGGCACCTTTGCCGTGCCCCGTGCAAGCTTGCACGTTTTTGTAACCGTACGGCAAATTTGCCGTACGGCAAAAAAAACGTGTCGTGAACAAGAGGCCTTACGCGACCCATCTTTCTCTCCGTCCTGCTGCGAGCGCACGAAAAATTGCAGTGACGAGTCTTGGTAGAGGTGATCAGGTACCGGTCTATGCCGGGTATGGGCAGGGGCGGGGAGCATATTTTTGCTTTAAACTTCGTGCTGGTGCGAGCGGGAAAAATTGCTACTACAAGTGGTTACTTTGTAATTCGAGAACGGCAATACGAAATATAATTACTTATAACACTTCTTTTAAGCCAATTAGAGTATCCAGTTCAGTACAGTTACCCGAAAAAATCATTAATTGTCCGAAATTTGGATAATGGTTCTGTTGTTATTCCACCTTTGAAATTCAAAAATTCTGACGAATATTTTCCTGAATGTATCTGTAACGTAGAAAATAATGCTATTCAATATCCAATTGACATAAATCTTCTTGATATTTCCAACCCATTTTTATCTGAACCTCTTGATGATTTTCTAATTGAAAAAGAATCTCCATTTTCTACTGAAAAATCCAATATACGTGTTGAAAATTTAATTCGTACATCTCATATGAATAGTGAATAAAAAGAAAAGATTATTAAGCTCTGCAAGCAATTCAAACAGGTATTTTTCAAGCCTAACGAACCATTAACTCCCTGTAATGCCACTGCACACAAAATTAGGTTAAAAAATGAAGACCCAATTTATGTAAAAAATTATCGATATCCTTATCATCTCAAAAAGGAAATCCAAAATCAAGTTTCCAAGTTATTGAATGATGGGATCATTCGACAAAGCAATTCACCCTATCAATCACCCTGCTGGATAGTTCCTAAGAAAATGGATGCATCCGGTGTTAAAAAATATAGGATGGTTATTGATTTCAGAAAACTGAATGAAATAACAATTGAAGATAAATTTCCACTCCCACTAATTGAAGAAATTTTGGAAAATTTAGACAAAAGCATGTATTTTTCTACTATTGATTTGGCACAAGGGTTCCACCAGATCCCTATGGATCCTGAGTCTATAGAAAAAAACGGCTTTTACTGTTGAAAAGGGCCACTATGAATATGTCCGTATGCCATTTGGGTTAAAAAATGCCCCTGCTACCTTTCAACGTATCCTGATTTTTCCAAAAAATTTACATTGACAACTGATTGTAGCAATATAGCCCTATCAGGAGTTCTTAGTCAAAATGATAAGCCTATTGCTTTCCACTCTAGATCATTAAATTCTGCTGAATGCAATTACAGCGTTATTGAAAAAGAACTATTGGCAATAGTTGATTCTTGTAAAAAATTCCGTCCTTATTTATTTGGTCAAAATTTTCTAATCGAATGTGATCACAAGCCCCTAGTTTGGTTGAGTTCTTTATCAGTGTCCAATCAGCGATTGATTAGATGGAAGCTTCAGTTAGAAGAATATAATTTTTCAATTAAATATAAAAAAGGCAAAGACAATGTTGTAGCCGATGCACTTAGTAGAATTGAAATTAACGCTTTAGAGGATGACGATCTTTTATCCATTTTACCACAAGTAGATTCTGTAGAAGAATTAACAACCCAAGAACTTCATGAAATCTTGAATGAAGATAATTTACCTTTATTTGATTTATTAGATGAAATGCCGTTAGATGAACGACTCAAAATTGTTGAGCAATCTGATGTTACTCGACATTAATCTGCACAAAATCCTATCAATCATATATTGTATCAAGAAAAGAATTTTTATTTTTTCAAAAATCGAATACATTTTCAGTTAAAAAATCAGTCTTGCAATGGAACTTTAATGGTAACAGTCCGAAGTGGATCTGAAACAGAGCAACTTTTGAAATTTATGAAGGAATATCTTCAGCCCGATCATACTTATGGTATTTGGTATGAAAATCAACTTTTAGAATTCAAACTTAACGAACTTTTAGAACAGTATTTTTCGAACAGCGGTATAAGATTTGTTAAAGCTTCTTATAAGCCTATATACCTACTAAAAGACTCATTTACAGAACAATTGTCTTTCTATCATAGCCAAACGCATAATGGTATCAATGAAACTTACAGCCATTTCAAGAAAAAAGCATTCACTCCAAATATGAAAAAAATAATATCAAATTACATTAATCAGTGCAATACTTGTTGGACATCAAAATACGAAAGACGACCAATCGAACTCCCTATGGAAGGACCTCTAATAGCTAAAAGACCATTTGAACATATATTTCTTGATATTTTTCAAGTCGAACAACAAATATTTTTAACATTTGTTGATTTATTTAGTAAATATGCCCAGGCCTACAATTTAAAATCAAAATTATCTAACGAAATATTAAACAAAATCAGACACTTCTTTCCCCATCACAATTATCCTGACAAAATAACTTTTGATCCTGGTGAACTTAACACAAAAGTTATAAAAGAATTCTGTAATATGCACAAAATTGAATGTCATGTTACTAGTGTAGGTAACCCCTCATCATTATCACCTCTTGAAAGATTTCATAGTACCTTGAAAGAAAAACTCAAAATTTTACGTCAGCAAAATAAAATCGATTCGATTATTGATCTAATGACGACAGCTATCTTAATTTATAACCAAAGTGTCCATTCTACGACCACATATACCCCATTTTCATTATTATACGGTCCTTACGACGATTTGAATAAGCATTTGATCGATACCCCCACAAAATTATATGATGAATATAACGAGAAACGGTACAGAGAATTACTACCTTTTTATGAAGAACTATCGAACCGTGTACAAGATAAGGCAACGGAAAGACTAAAAGAAATTAATCAAAATCGAAATAAGGAAATTCCAACCTTAGAAGGTCCAGTATATCTTAATCTGCATTAGATCGTTCACATAAAACAAAACCCCTGTATTCTAAAGAGACCTCTTACGAACAAGAAAATGTCCATATTAATTTGCGCACTAAAGGAGAAAAGCATAGACTGAATAGAGTGAAACCGCAACGCAAAATTTCTAACTTTCAGGATCCTAATCCAGGCCCTTCAACCAGACGGCCTAGAGATCCAGCTGATCGAGAATAAAGCACCATATTTTAAGCAAGAGCTAGGTAACGCCTATCTACTAAAAGCGTACCATAAGACATTTTTTCATATAAATCTCACTCTCATTAACGAAAATATCAAGCAAATAACGTCAAATGTCTATTTTGCAAAACAAAGAATCGATGATACGTTGATGACCCAACTTGAACATGAATACAATTTGCTTTTAGACAAATATGAAATGTTAAAATTTAAACGAGTTAAGCGTGGATTATTTAATGGTCTTGGTTCCGTCATAAAATATATTTCAGGCAATTTAGATCAATCTGATCTAGACGAAATAGTGGAAAATATGAAGATTCTGAAGGAAAATCAAGATAATTTATCATTACAAAATTCCCGAACCGTCTCTGTAGCAAAACAATTACAAGACAGGTTTGAAAATAACACTTTAATTATAAAAAAAAAAAATTGAGAGATAATTTGGATAACCTCAACAAATTGCATAGCGAATACGCTAATTCTCAGTATGTCTTGAATGAGATAATAATTATTCAAAGATTTTCTAATTATTTATCACATTTACTGTTAACCATTAACCTGAGCACAAATCAGGGCATAAATCTCTTACAGCTGAGTAAGACTGAAATTAATTATATCCATTCGTTATTAAGTGATCTATTTGACAAAAATGAACTTCTTCCACTCGACAAACTGCACAATTTTGAATTTTTCGAATTATGTGAATTAAGTATTATAGTCCTCGAAGAAGAAATCATATTTGTTCTTCACATACCAACAGTTACTGGTAACTTTATATATTCCAATATACAGGGTTATTCAAATTAAGTGTCCACCATTAGTAACTTTGTTATTAGTGAAAATACAAAGTTGTTTGAATTAGCAAACTAGTAGCGTTTCTAACGCTGGTAAAAATGAGAAATAAAAAAAAACAATTGAGAGTCGTTATTTTGATTTTTTTCAGTAAAATAACATTTTTTTAAATGGAAACCCCTGTATATTATATTTTTTTCTGTTAAAGCATCAAATTTTAAACAAAAAAGCTCACAATAACTTTTCTCCTAGGTTACAAATTGTTGAAGTTATGGCCTCCAATCTGAAACAATTAAATTGTATCGACAAACTTTATTTTCAACATCAACTTATAATCTTACAAAATACAATAACAATTTTTTTTAAAGAAGATGCTCGAAAACACCACCTTGTTCTTCAATACATTTTTGGGCACGTTTTTCAACTGCTCGAACTGTCTTAAGTATGGTCCTACCATCTATCTGGGTTATCTTTTCCCTAACTGCAGTCTTTAACGCGTCAAGGTTATCGTACCTTCGCTTGTAAATTTGGTTCTTTAAGTAACCCCACAAGAAGTAATCGAGTGGGTTTAGATCTGGTGATCTGGGAGGCCACTGTATTGGGCCATTTGTTCCTATCCACTGATCATTAAAAGTAGTACTTAGAAAATGATAAGTACCTCTGGAGTTGTGGGCAGGTGCGCCATCTTGCTGAAAATGCAGATGATGTCTACTTATAAGATCCAATTAGTCTAAGAAATTAGTCAGAATTTCTGACATAAATTCCACATATCTTTCACCAGTTAGGGTTCCCTCATAAAAGAACGGGCCAACAATTTTTGAACCAATTATACCGCACCAAACGTTGAAACTGAAACGGACTTGTGGGCCTCTTGGATGTACTAACAAAAGATTTTCTCTTGACCAATAATGGTGGTTTTTTCTATTAAACATTCCAGAATTTGAAAAATTTGATTCATCTGTCCATAAAAGGTAACGAAAGTTATTTACATTTTGGCGACAGAAGCTAAGATACCAATGGCAAAAAACAAGTCTTCTCTCTGGATCCCCTGCCAAAAGCGTTTGAACTGGTCGGTACTTATACGGAATAAATTTGTATATTCTTAAATTCCTTTGAACAGTACCATAACTGAAATTAGAGTCCTTGAGAATATCTGCTATTGAATTCTCACGATAAGCTTCAAAATATCCAATAACTGCAATTTCCGTGGCCTCGCTTATTATGAATTCTTTTTTTGCCCTTGTTTTAGCAAAAACATTTTCGTTGCCCCTAAATTTTCGATAAAGTCTCAGAAAATATCGTTCATACGGTTGAATGCGAGCGGGATATAATTCACTGTAGTATTCTCTTGCTCTCAAGGAGGATTTTCTGCACACTAAATAGCATTCTAACATATCACACTTT